ATGGTTTTTCTAAAAGTATCGTTGCATTATACTATAATACATCCGTTACATTGGATCATTGCTCATTAATAATACCGAGCTTTACTATGCAACAAGAGTTTTGGACAGTATCAGGAGAGAGAAAATATTTATGGACTTTGGGTCAATCGAACAAAATAAGGGCTTTATTGCATGGCAATTACATCCTAAGAAATACATCACATTAAAAAAACTAAAAAACGAAAATATCAATAAAATGCTAAGAGAACCTCAAAAAAACCAATGACGTAGCTAAATCAACTAATTTCATAACAAGGGGGTTGCTTTTAAGATTCATTTCAGTTGAGTATCTCTTAGATCATCTTGGCTCTTTTAGATTTGAAACCTTGAACATAATTTTAAGACCAATTTAGATGTATCCAAAATTGTAATATTTTCAAATGACAAAAAAAAAATAAGATTGAGATAGCAATTGAAAACGGATAACCACATTATATTACAATATTCTCAAATGACAAAAAAAAAAAATTTGAGATAGCAATCGAGAACGGATAACCCCATTAGATTTTATTCTCCATCGAAACAAATTATGACGCGAGACCAAATTTGACGCGTAAAAAAGCGTTCAAAATTTCTGAGAGACACTTACAAATGCCTCAAAACACAGGAAGGTTTTGTAAAGGATGTCTTACCTCACCTCTTTGCCAAGGGTACTCTCTCTCATCGTAATATTGAACTTCTCAATCCTTCCTCTTGTTTCATAGCTGCCAACTCAAAACAGAAATAATTCCCTCTGAAAACCCAAATTAGGGTTTTTGAACCCAAAAGGGAATAAACCGTGTAGAACCCATTTCCTCAATGGTTGCACCTAATTTTCGTAACCAATTTATGTCTGTTTTATGGCCACATATCCAGTTTTCTCACTCTAGATTGTAATTTCTCTCTCTAGGATTTTTTTTTGGACCTGTTTCTTTTTTACAAGGTTCCATGGTTTTCTCTTCCTTTTAACTCGTGCTATATAATATAGACCTAATATTTGTTTTTAATGATGAGATTATGACTTGATTTGTCTCTTTAGAGCTTTCATCCCTGCTCCTGTTTTTTAGGTTCTTTTCATTCTCTTGTACATGGCCATTAAAGGCCTTACGAGTGATTGTAATAAAAACATTTGATATAGTGGAATATAAACTCAGTGAGAGTGTAGTCCCTCGTGAACTATATTATGCAAACAATGTTCACAGATACCGATATGTGTTTGACGGTCTAGGTTAGTCGGTTGAAAAAAACCCATGTTACCTGGGCATTGAGTATAAACTGATAAGGGTTCTAATGGGTCATTCCTTGATGAGGTCGGAGTATACCCGGATGAATGTGCCGAGGGACTGTGTGACCTTTGTGTGTGATGGTGGCCTACAGAGACGAGGGTCAAGGCCTCATCCATGTACCATCACACGACATGCATATTGATAGACCGTTTCAGGAAAGTAAGCCACCTTCGGGGTGAAGCGTATGCCTGTGCAAGAGATACCCCTATGCATCATAAGAGCTGTAGTCGCATCAGGTCTAGATGACCTTGACTCGTCTTTAGGGAAGAACCTGTAATCTACATACCGAGATTGCGACCCCTTGGTTTATCAGTCAGATTTTGGTGATCCGCTAATGAGCCCCTACGTGAACTGTGGGTCATGGGAAACACTAAGTCGGTTTGATAAAGCAAATATAATCTGTAGTCGGCAATTGAAGGTAGAGTGCCCAATGATCATTGATTCAATTTCTAAACCATATAGATCATTTTCCCATCAAATTACTTTAATTAAGTTTGTTTTATGATAGAAACTTTTGGATTTATAAAATTAAAGACATTGATTTTACAATATTTTAAATATTCAAATAATATTCTTAAATTTATTTTATTAATTTTAAATATATAAAATTTCATGGGGGCCCATTCTGCATATGAGCCCACCATGTTCTAAAAAGTGGGGCCCATGAGTGCCTCCTCATGGGTGGCACGTCCCACCCTCTTAGGATGCTCTTTTATTTTTGGTAATGTCAATTACAACATGTGGTCAAATAGAATCTTGAGGTTGGAAAATATATGGACCATATATTCCCTTGATATATCTTTGAAATATTTTGTGGAAAGATTGACTAGACTTGTGCTAAATTTATAGTATGCATAATATTTGATTAGATTTAATTTATTTAATTTTTATTGATGGAAAAGTAGTTTAGGAAAGGGGGATAAGGGTTCATGCACCTTCCATAACGTTGATGGCTCATTTATGAAATAGATGGCTCAGATCTCTCAACTCACAAGTCACCCTTGATCGACGGTCTATGTTCAATCTCACTTAAGAGGCAAACTATGAGAAACCTTAAAAAACCCTAAATCTAATTTTTCACTATAAATAGATGTGTACCCAACTATTCTCTACACATCTCTCTTCTCTCTTGTCTCTCTCTCTAAGGGGTACGAACGACTCTCTCTCCTCCCTCTTTAGCCCCTCTCTCTCTCTTAGTCCTTCTCTATCCTAGCCCATAGAAGGGACCATGCCCCAACCCTAAGGTTTACCCTACTCTCTCTCTCATCTCAAGAATCCTAAGGGTTGAGTGGTATGGGATATGTCAAAATAAGTCTTGGGGTTAGGATTTAGATATGATGAGTTCTAAGAGGGTTCTATAATACATTTTGGCCTCAAAATTCCTTTCCCGGTTTGAGATTGAAGCTAGATGATCGATCCCATGCCATCGGATGGTGGTGATTCGGTGTAGGGTGTAATAAGCCCGATTGAAGTAATTTTCGATACGCTTCACTTTTATTTCTTACAATCTTATCTTCTCAAGCATAATGCATAGTTATTTCAATGACATCAAGTTTCAAGAACTTGATTTTATTGTTTTATTGATTTTACTTTGAAGTATATGTTATTGTAATAAGACCACTTGTAAGTGAACTTTTGCCAAAACAAAAAGGGGTAAAAAAAAAAATATTCTCCTGTAAAAGATCACATAGGACTTACTTTCAAGAATTGGCCAAACGACATGAGAAGCAACAACGTAAGCAGCGGTTAATTCGTGCACTTGCTCTTTGCGGTTAATGATATTTATGTAAACAAGATTCCTCTTCTTAATTCATCTCTATTTGGCTATGCATAAGTGGAAGAAATATTTAAAGATCATAGGAAACGATGCCTTCAAGTTTGTCGTATGGAGTTAAATGTATTTCAAAACTTTTGTGAGAATCTTCAGTAGACATCTTCTGAATGATGCTCGAGGTATAAAGGTTGAAGAGCAGTTGTCAATGTTATTATACATCCTGAGGAAAGAGCTCAAGGAATCGCACAATCCAAGACCGGTTCCAACACTCTGGTGAAGCCGTCAATCGCCATTTTGAGAGAGTTCTCACTGCAATATATAAACTATTATTCGATTATGTTCATGTACCTTCAAGTAACACACCTTCAAAAATTTACAAAAAAAAGCATGTATTATCCTTTTTTCTAGGTATTTATTTTAAATTTACAAGTAACACACCTTCAAAAATTTACAAAAAAAAGCATGTATTATCCTTTTTTCTAGGTATTTATTTTAAATTTATGTATCTTTCGATAATTTTGGGAAACTGATGATTGATTTTAATTGAAGTTTTTTTGCTTTGCTTTTTAAATAATTGCATTGGGGCAATAGATGGTACCCATATTCATGTGAGTATTGGTATTGGAGACCAAGCTCCATATCAGAATAAGAAAGGCTTTTTATCACAAAATGTAATGGCAGCTTGTTCTTTTGACCTTCGCTTTATATATGTACTAGCTGGGTGGGAGGGATCATCATCAAATTCTTCTATGTTAAAAGCTGCACTAAAAGCTGGTTCCAAGGTTCCCAGAGGTTATGGTTATTTTTCTTACGTTCAAAATTTTTATATTTGGTGGAATATTTAAATTTCATTTCAAGGTTGCTAATAATTGTTATAATCCTCATCCACTTCCTACAAAAGTATTGTTATCTTTAATATATATATATATATATATATATATATATATATATATAATAATGTCTATACTACTATATGTCTATACGATATATATATACTCTCGTGTAGTCGTCGTATGTCGACACGACGTAACGTACTACTATACTC